AGGAGGAGGAGGAGGAGGAGGAGGGATACACTGGTCTGAGGAAGGAAAGAAAGGGAGGTACAGGCGAGATGGCCTGGGTGCCATTGGAAACATCCTGAGGATACATTCGAAAGGGATTAAAAAGATAGGTTACAAGACTACAAAATTTTCTCTGACAAAATGTATGAAAACAGGAGCTCTAATTCTGCCCCACAGTTTTGCTCTATGGTGAGCTGCCCTGTAAATAGCCAATAACCCAGAGGCATTATCAACCTGCCCTATGTGTTCAGACATCCCGATATAACAAGAGTGAAAGCAAAAGGAAGAAGATTCCGAATCACTGGCAGAAATATATTTAAAAAACGGGGGTGATTTCTTTCCACGGAGGAGCACTTCAAAGAAGATAAGTTCAATTCACTCTGATCGCTTGATTAAGATCTGCAAGGATACAAATGAGACTATTTGTCAAGGGATGTGGGAGGTCCATGAGCCAGGACCCCTCAGACACAGGACACATGCCTGAGTATGGGTGGAGTGTGTCCCAGGGTTCTGTGGGCATGAGGGGGCTTTTCCCGCAGGGATCGCATTCTGACTTAACACAGTCGCAGAATACAAAGACGTCCAGGGCCTGCTCCACCTTAGAAATGAAGGAGCAGACAGAGCAGCAGTCTTGGGAGAAGGATTCTGGTGTGACCTGCTGTCCCTGACGTCATCTGCAGTTATGTGATGACAGAATATTGTGTTAGACACTGTGTGGAGGGTAGAGATGTGGAAGACAAGGTCCTTGACCTTGGGTAGTCTGCAGTCTCATGAGCCCAGAACTGGAGCAGTTTATATTTTTCTATCCCTATGCTCAATTTTTTTAATTCTGAATTGTTTTTATATCCCCTAAGTAAGGTATGGTGGGTCAGAAAGATGTATTTGAGCTGAAAGAAACCTAAGCATTCAGGGATAAAGAGATCAAATAGGAAATCCAGAGTAAATTCTGGAAGCTTCCTGGCCCCGTTCTTTCCCCTGTCTCCCCCCCACCACACACACACACACACACTTTACATCCTGTCCTTCCATGCCAGCTGTATTTTGGTCATCACCCCTATGCCCAATTTTTCCTTTTTTTTCTTCAGCCAATTCCTTAGAATTATAGAGTTGAAAGTACCACTAGGGACAAAAATTAAAGCTTTCCATTATTTTGGATTATTGTCCCTCGCAAAATACCTTGTCCTCTCTGTAAGTATCCTCAAGGATGACTTCAAGGGGTGGCCTATTCCTTTGCTAGACTATTCACATAGTCCCCCAAATCATGCTCATATT